TGAAAGAGTCGGTTCGGATATATTTTCGCATGAACTTGGCCTTAGCACTACATTTTGATTTAAGAATTATTTAAAATACACCAAAACACAGTAAGACACTGTATTTCAGGCAGAAATAATAGCGATTTCCTACGCAACAGATTGGGTCCTATGGAACAAGATTCCCATTGTAAATATCGCAATCTTCTCTGACAGCCAAGTTGCTCTCAGTATCTAATAAGCGCTACAACTACGTCCTTAATAATCTGACAATGTTGGGTTGCCTTTGACGAACTAACTACGTGCATCAGTGTTTAGTTCGAATATCGGACAGCTATATAAAAGTAGATATGACCAAATTAGGCACTCTGCTCTCTTACATTCACTAGTCGGATATTCGTATCTTACTTGTTAATTAAACAAAAATATAGGACTATAACTAACAAAACGAACAAAATGAAAATTGATACATGAACTCTTCTGTCAGATTCCAAAATTGACCTGTTGCAATACCAATCAACTACTTCAATTAAAGCGTAATATACTTACTACTCTGGTGTCGGTACTGACAGATCTCTGCTTACTAGGAAGATATGCTATAAGATAAGATGTCCTCTATATGACTTTTATTGTCTCTGTATATGAGGAAGAACCGGTACTTCAACTCATGTGTCAATCCTCAGCAATCGTCAGGAAAAATTAAAATTTTCGGTGTCTCTTACTGATTTGATAGAACTGTTATCGTACAAAGTTAGGGACTTAACCCAATTTATACACTTGTCAGGTGGATTCAATTTCACTTGATTACAGGAATCGAGTCTTACAGTATTGTTAATAAATTGACCAGATTGGACCTTTCAGGAACGTTTTTGGTTTGCGTATGAACAACGGTAATGACTCATAATTGATATCACAACGGGACATTATTTGAGCTCAAGTGAACTTTGGGCACAAGGTTGCCACTCTAATAGAACCTCACCAGTCCTTCGAATTATTGTATGCGAGCTTTTAGATTCTCAATATCAATTTGTATATGTATATATATTTATACAGAAAAGGCTTTTGGAATGAGAGGCTATAAGTATTGTAGAGAACGTGAGATAATAAGATCCATCATGCATTTGGACCTCCATGCAATAGAATGCCAAAAGTATACCTCTTATATATCTAATTAATACTTATTTATATTAATTAAAGATAAGTACATATTAAAGGGCATCTAAAAGCTATAGTCCCCGGACACCAATTATGCTCGCGGCGCCACTGTTATATATCTTACAACTGACAACGGTTTAAATTAATTTATTTATACTTAAATTTACTTTTAAAAATTTTTGGAATGAATGTCTTTTTTTTTAACTATTTTTTAAATATTTCTTCGCAGTAGAATGTCTGGCGTCTTTTTGTGAAAACATATTTTTCCTACATAAAACAAAATTATTTAATATATTTTACATATTTTTGGTGGAAAATGTTTTTTCTTTAGAAATTTTGTGACTAATAAAAATTTTTAAATATTTTTAAATTTAAATATTTTAAATTGTTTTTGTTTTTTACGCACCGAAAAATTTAAAGAATTTTTATACAGATTTTTTTAAGAACAAGAGCGATGAAAAAAAAAATTAATTAATATATAAATAAATTTAATTGAAAAATTTTATTAAATATAAAAATAGAACAAATTAAAGCATTTAAGAAAAAAAATTATTTTAAACTTTTTAATGAACATCTGGCAACTTTAAATTATAAAAGTAAAATAATTCATGCAAAATAAAATCCATTTAAAAATCCTTTTAAATAAATTTTTTATTTTTAAATAAAAATATTTAGCATTTCCGGTCAAATTTTTCAAATATTATTTTTAATTTTTAATGAACTATTTTATTAACACGTTTATTTTTCATATATGATATTTTTTATGAGTAAAGCAATACCGTTAATGAGAAATACAGGTAGGGCATCCAAATAATTGATGGAAACACCAGAGAACTACTGATATGAAGGTACTGGGTACCAACAACTAATAACAGCAATTCAATAATGTTGTTGTTGTTGTAGCCCAAGGAAACTTATAATATCTTTTAAGAAGTGAACGACACTGGATCGTGAAAATTGACGAGTGGCTTCGGAAGAGAAACATAGTCCTTCTGGAAATCGTAAGCGTAGAAGCGAGGTGGCTGAAGGAAGCTACAGAAAGCACATTCCCTCCTCTAAAGGATATCACCCTTCAAATTAAAAAATGTTATTCATCGTAAATGGGTTCTTTGGAAGATTTTAACCCAATGTACTATTAAAGTGGAGTTAAGAATTTAAAATAACTTTGGAAAAAGTACTTTAAGTAAAAAGAAGAAGTTTTAAAAATTTTCTTCAAATAAGAAGTTTTGAAGGACTATAAGTATATATATATCTATTCATTATAATAGCATTATAGGAAGAGTAAATGGTAAATAAAAATAAAATCGATGCAGAAATTTTTCTCAACAGCACCCCAAATGCCTTTTTGGCTATAGGCCTATTCGGAAGTAAAAGGTTCTTTGTCTAAAACATTGTTTTAATATCGTTTGAAAAAATTAATATCGTTTAATATCGAATATTGTTTCGAATTAAAAGAAGAATTGGAGTATAAGTTGGAGCATCGTTGGAAAAAATGTTTCGAGTTAAGAAGAGATTAAATCGAAAAATAATAACAACCAATTTAAAAACTATATTATTTTATTATTTATTATTTTTATTTTCAATCTCAAGTTATAATTTTTTAGATTTATTTTCTGAAACTGTAGAAGGAAATAAATAATAATAAAACCGCAGTATTATACATGGTATAATACTTTCCATGGTAACACAAGAAGGTTACCTTTCTTTGTGCTAAAGTGGGATGCGGTGTACAAGGCCGTCACTCTAGCCTAACTTATTATACAGATGATTTTTGTGATTAAATGTGGTACCTTTGGGAAGTAAAAGCTTTTTAAATTCTAGAGAAACTAGTAATTAGCTCTACATATTTTTCTGTACGATAGATCGAAAGCATCGAAAGCCTCAGACTTGAATCCACTGAAATCACCTATTAAGAACTAGTTGAAAGACCTATTAAGAACAGACTATTAAGAACAGACTGTGAAAGACTT